AAAATGGTTTAGGGTTTTTCTTGACAATGAGGCACAATTGCTCTTGGCAACACCACCTGCGTCAAAAAGGAAGATGGACATTGAAGAAACTCTTTATGGAGTTTACTTCCAATATGGCAAGACTAGCCATTTGGACAAGATACTGCTCTTGTCTGGACTGTTTGATTTTATGATGTATAAACTGGACATGCAGAAACCATAGAAAAGTGACTGCTGATACAAGACAGATATTGCTACAGAGTTCCTGCTTCATGGAAGAGTCTGCCAGACAGTCTGCAGGAAACAGAGAAAAGTGACTGACAAACTGCCAATACAAGAAAACAGTTTAAAGTTTCCTGCTTTGCTGGAGTCTGCCAGACACACTATGGCCTATGGGCTAAAGATGAAAGATTACAGAACTTCAGGTGACTGACAAGGCAAGATGTCTCTGTCATTTCTAGCGTTTATATATTATCCTTCTGTGGTCTTTGATGGAGTTGAAGACAAATAGTTATGCTTATAGTTTTCCTTAGTTAGGCTTAAAGATAAGTGGCATATAGGACTTTAGACTCACAAAGATAGAATAGATGATGGAATATTTTCTTAAATCTTATTAAATGTTATGGACTAAATAGTGTTTACTGTGATTCTTATTTGATAAATGTTATGCGATATATTTTGCTATGTTAAGGTTAAAACCCTTCTTTTTATTTAGACAGAAAAGAGGAGATGATGGGAGATGCCATTATGTATATGTGTTTCTCATACTGGTTGATGAATAATGCACTGTTGGCCAATAGGAAAGGACGATAGGAGGGACTAGGAGACAGGGAGGAATTAGGAAGGAGTAAGGAGGAGTCAAGATGGAGAAAGCAGAATGCAGGCAGGCTCCCTGGAAAGAGGGGACCATGTGAAAATACATGGGTCGGTGGAAATGGGTTGATACTTGAGACAGAGCTAGCCAATAAGAAACTAGTACCGGGCCAATAGCATTGTATCAAAAAAAAAAAAAAAAAAAAAAAAAAAAAAAAAGAGTAAAAAAGAGTAGGTCATTGCATAGCCTTTTATTCACTGCATGCTAACAGGTTTGGATATGAGTATTAATAATCCCCAGTCCCTGAAATGAGATATTTCTATGATGAGAGCTCAGAGATTTACTAATCTGTGGGCATAAAGGAAGGGATTAGGGAGTTGTTTCATATGATGTCAATGGACACTGGAAACTTCATAAAGCTCAACTGTCAGAGAAGAGAGGGGGGAGGGAGGAAGTAAGAGGGAAAGAGGGGGGACTTTCTGTTTTATCAAAGAGTATGGGATAAACAGAACTGTGCAGTTTCTAAAGGCATAGTGTCATTTCTACTGTACTTTATTGGCTTCAGTGAGTTGCAAGACCTGCAGATGTGTGAAGATTCAAAACAGGAAATGGAACCTATTTCCTGATGGGGAACTATGAGAATAGATGCCAAGAATGAAAGAAGGGTGACCACACTTGTGTGTGCATACATACTTACAGATATATAGAAAATGTAACTTACATAATAAAATTTACAAATGTATATATATAAAAAAAGGTGTAGAACCAACAGGGTAGAACTCTGGGCTCTCTCTGCAGTAAGATAAGACCACATGGAAATGTTTAGATTAATAGAAATGGGTTAATATTTGAGACAGAGCTAGCCAATAAAAAACTAGTAACTGGCCTACAGGTTTTTATCAAATTCAGTATCTCTGTGTGTTATTTGGGGCTGGTGCAGCTCTAGGAAAACATACTCGTAACACTAGACTGGTCTGCAGAGTGAGTCCTGGGACAGCCAGAGCTACACAGAGAAACCCTGTCTAGGAAAACAACAACAACAACAAAATGGATCTTATCATATACAGTCCATGTTTAAAATTTGTACAATATTTCCTCTGCATTTATATAAATCTAAACTTTTAAACTCTTAAATATTATTAAAACAAAATAGCATTATCTGGATCCTACTTACCTTAGCTATATAGATGCATGCCACTCTTTGTCACACTACCTGACTACTAGACAATATGAAAATCTTTGCTATCATTGGGATGTCATGCTTTCATTTGTACCTGGAATTCTTTCCTACATTGCTATATGGCTATTTTAACCTATAATTCAAGAGTTTGAGTAGCTTTGGTTTCTTTTGGCATTTTATCTAATCTGTTTTCCCTTATTACATTCATTTTTAGTTTTCTCAGTTTTATTATAGATGTTTGCCTCACCTGACTATAATTTTCTTGAGAGCAAAAGCCACTTCTTCTCTTTATGAATCAATGTCTAGCTGTGTTATATCATAGGAAATAGTTAATAAGTATTTTTTAATAATTAAAGGAGCAGGTTACTGTATAACAAAATAGTCATATGTCAAATACACTTAGTTGAATACATATAACTGACTAGAATATTAATGGTTACCATCAGAAAACTATGTAGTCAAAGAGGACCAGATAGGGAACTGCAAGCACATGGAATGATCGAATGTTTCCAGTTATTCAGCATATCCTGACTCTTCTGGATAAGAGAAATTACACAGCTATCCCATCTTCCCATTAATAAACTCATGGCTCAAGCTCTATCCTAGAACTGATGTCATTTTGCATTGAAAACATCTTTAAATAGGTTGACTTTTGAGGAAAGAGACTGATTTGTCTTTATCCTTCATATTTCATTAGAGTTTCCATGATACAAATTAATCACAGTAGAAATTTCTTTCAGGAATTCTATAATTATAAAATTAAAAATTATAGCATACTAAAGGGAAGAAGGCAACATCACTTCAGATTTAGTACACAGCCTAATTACTTGTTACTCAAATTCTACATTTCCTGAGTTTAAGACACTGGGAGAGGCATCTGGAATTCAAACAATGATTAGAATACTGTCCTTTTTTGTTAATCAATAGGCTTTGTATAGAGAAATAAATCCCTGTCAGATCTACACAAAAAGATCCCAGTACAAAAGTATTACTGACTCAGCACACTCCCCAGCAGGCTCCATACAGCCAGCTTTCTGGACAGAAAGTTGTCCCAATGATTTCTTTGGCCCAGGAAACCATCTTATATTCTACATATGTTCATTGGGTTACTGTCTACCTACCAGGTTAATCAGTATTCATTGCTTATTTCCCTCATGTCATCACAAGGCATTCTTGCTCCATCACAGGCTCAAAGAAGAAAGTGGTTCAGTAGGAAGTAAAAGAGCTGGAGGGGGTCTAATGTCAGAATAATGATTCAACTGATGTGTTCCTGGTAACATTAAGGAGTGCGGGTCATCAGCTCCCTGCAGCCTTTATGGGTTTTGCTGAACAGCTGGAGGTCATCCAGTGACTCAGAGCAGGAAGTCAGTAAAAGAATGGCAATATTTTCTTGAAGGCTTAAATTAGCCTTTGCTTAGGCAAATGTTGAATAATTGCTGTTAGACAACTTGTATAAATAGACACATATTATTTATAGGTACTACATATTTTTCATAGAAAAAACTATCTTCCATTCATTTGACTTTAAAAGACAAACTTCCAGTGTCCTTTAGTAAATGGATAGGGTAGATCTTTATTCATATTTGAATTCTAATTCATCTGCACTTAAGCCATGAGGAACTTCTAAGCTATTTTTGTTACATTGCTAAAAACCTGCTACCATATTTAGTAAAAAAAACAGCAAAAAAAAAAAAAAAACTTCAAATAACAAAATAACATGCATGTATAGCTAATATTTCCTGAGTTTGCACCAGGATTTATTCCAAATATGTGAACTGTTTCAATGAATCATCATAACATTTCCAAGAACAAACCTTGCTTTTTATTTGTATTCTATAGCTGAGAAAATGAAGATCTATCCAAAGTCTAACAACTAGTAAGGGTCAGAGCTGGGGTTCAACCTACATGCTCTCATCTTTATTCTATGCCCCTCTCTATGTGCAGGATCTTTAAAAAAATGTTTCATTTCATTTTGTACACAGATTTAATGAAGGTAAATGGATGAACAAGGCTTTTTAATGTGGCTGCCTGGTTCTTATGTCCAAGATGGAAAATAGCACTTAATTCTGTCCTCCAGAGAAGGTGACATGCTTATTTTTTAATCACATATTTAGCAATTGACAGTAAATAGTTATGAAGTCTAATGATTATCCAGTCATAATCTAAAATATTTAATTGTGTTAAGGTAATTATTAAAATTTTCTGAAGCATCTGAAATACTGTTTGAGTAGTGTTAATGTCAGAGTTCTAAATGAAATTCATATAATGATTCAATTTCACTTTTTACCCAGCTTCTTCAAGCAAGTACAAGATCATCTAGACATCTGTGAACATTAAAAAAGAAGCTTAACTTATTTTGTCTGTCCCAAGCTAAGAACAATACAATACTTATTAGCTACAAACATAATACAAAATTAAAAGGAATCACATTATGAAATATAATTTAGTATCAAAAGATTGTTATGTTTTAAGATTTAAATTTTTATGTGTATGTTTCTATGTAAATGAATAGCATATGTGCACAGAGGTCAGAAGGGTGTGTGAGATCCCTTGTAGCTGGAGATACATGTGGTTGTGAGTCAACTGATATGGGTGCTGGGAACTGAACTCAGGTCCTCTGTAAGTGCAGCAAACTCTCCTCACTATTGGGCAATCTCTCCAGCCCCAGTAAAGATTATTTTTGTTACTTATGTTATTACCTGGTTATATGAAAAAATTTACCATGCACATCTGAAATGTTAGAATGTTGTCCAAGTTATATTGAGCCTATCAGCTATAAAAAAATCATAGGAAATATTAAATGGTTATTATCATTTATGCTATTTTCTATAAATTCATATTCTCCTTATGTGAGTTTGTGTGTTGAGTTTCTGGTTTCTTAAACCATCTGCGAAAACTGCTGTCATGAAGTGTCTAGTCTACTGGTAAGCAATGATGTCAGAGAATTAGTGGTGGGTTGTGTATTAAAATTTAGACATACATTGTTGACATTTGTTCATCAGTATGAGTCTTTTATAGTTTTGTTACCTTTCGGTCCTTTGAAAAGCTTGATTTCCACGACAGTCTCCAAAATGGGTCGTCTTCTACGTACATACAGCCGCACAATTGAGCCCGCCTCTTTGAGGGCCTCCACTGCTTTACTGTGGGAAACCTCTGACACATCAACCTCGTTCACCCGCAAGATACAGTCATTGACCCTGCAAGGGAGGAAGAGGCAAGGTTCAGCAGGACCTAGGGACTTGGAGTGAGGAATTCATCATCACTAACCTTGACAAGTGTTAAGAGTGTGAGAGATTTGAAAATGTTCAAATAAGGAAGGTTCCTTACATACAGTATAAGAAATCAAGTCAACATCAAACTCCTTGACTGCCTGGCATTCCACATAATTATCACAAGGCTAGTCAGTTTCCATCTTAAACTCTACTATAGTAGTGTGACTTGAATTGAGTGGCATATGGCATAATTAGAAGAATATGCATTTTAAGATATCTGTCCATGACATCATTATTTTTACTGCCTTAAATGGTTAGAGTGAAAGTTATGGTCTAAAAGCTTCTCAAAAGTTATTATGGCAGACTATATAGACACAACAGATGTAATTTTATCATTTAACTTTGAAAAATTCTTAACTCACTGGATAAAAGCGTTATACAATAATTGTAGAAACGCTCAAAAATATAACTATGTAGGAAGAAGAAAAAAAACATATAAACCAGTCATCTCAATGTGAATAGCTTGTTGAATTATCTTTAAAATATCTTTACCCTGGAATTCATCTCACAGTATTATAAATATTGGAGCTTAGACCTAATGAAGCTTGACGAGATCCTCAGATAATTCTGTCTAAGACATTTACTTTAAAAACTGAGAATTATGTAATGCTTTAATTGTTTCTATATTCACACAGGAAGGCATAATTTGACTTCCTTTCTAGTTACTTTATTTTTATGATAATGATTAGTGATGGGATGATTGATGGCTAAAAGAATGGGTTTCTGACTAGAAAGATTTCTTCACTCTGCCCATCCATTTTAATACTCCCCATCTCACGTTATTTTGTTGCTCTAAGTCAAAAGTGAACAACTGTTCTTACCTCACTCCTTCTTCCCTCTATCACTGTACATTCAGATAAATTTACAGGGCAAATCCAGTGGCTATCAAGGTTTGTTCATCTTCCCTGCTAGTTTTCCTGGTTGAAGTCAGCACCACCTCTTCCCTGGATGACTCCACAACCTCCTACCTAACATTCTTGGGTGTTCTTTGTTACCTCTGAAGTGAGCCCCAAACAGTGAATGTGTTTGGTATCTTATCCAACTTCCATTCCCTACTTCTCCCTTCCAATGTCTGCTTTTGTTCAAGAGCTATATTATTTAGCAAGTATTTATTTAATATGAAAAGAACAACAATTCAAATTCAATTGTTGGATTTCCATCTTCTAAATTTATATTATAGGCAATTTTCTCAATCTCTGTGATATTACCATGTTTATACTCTAACGAATAAAGCTTGCCTGAAGATCAGAGGGCAGAGATGGCCACTAGCTAACCATAGAGGTCGGGAGCTCTCTATAGACAGACAGGAAGTAAAATGGCTGGTGGAGAAAGGAACATAGGCAGGAGGATATAGGTCTCTTTTCAGACTGAGGATTTCATAGAGATAAGAGCTCTAGTGGCTGGCTGCTCTGCTTCTTTGATTTTTCAGCTTTCACCCCTAATATCTGACTCTAGGCTTTTATTATTAAGACCCATTAGAACTCATGTTACAAATCTCTCTGAATGTCCACATTCTTTACTTTAATAATAGTAATATCTGCTATGAATGTTTTAAGGAAAAATAAAGTAGACAATATGCATATAAGCCTTTTCCAGAGATCCTAGCATATAATATACTCCTCATAAATGTATTTTCAGTGCAGTATGTATTGATGTATAATAATCCTAACAATGGATTCTTTTACATCTTTGTGGAATAAGGTTGATGTCCATTGTAGAAATTAGTATAATATGTAATAATATAAGCAGTTAAGCCTTTTATTGGCAGATTGGGCAAAGATTAGATTTGTTTCATAGTCTATGCTTCTATGTATCCTTCCTACCTACCTATCTATCTATCTATCTATCTATCTATCTATCTATCTATCTATCTAATTTATCTATCTTCCTCATGATGGTGATGATCATCTATTCTCTATCAACCTACTTACTTACCTACCACCTTTATGTTTGTATTTATTATTTTTGCAGCACTGATTTTGTAAGCCTAGGGCTTCATGTACACTTGGCAAGTACTCTAGTACTGATATATACCTGGACCTTTCAAGACTTCTTACTAATATGTGTATGTATGTATGTATGTATATATGTATGTATGTTTGTATGTATCTAATGTGATGCATCATTTTATGTATAATATGAATATCAATTCAAAGTACAAGTTTATCATGAACATATTATATAAAAGCATTGGGAAGATTTTTAAGTGTATTTTTCCCATAATTCTTTTTATGTCTGTTTAGGAAGCTATTATTGCAGCCCTTGCCTTTATGAGAGTGTGCAACACCCTTAAAATCCTGAAATGAAAGATTTCTCTAAGATGTAGTGATGCTATTTCATCAGGACAGATGGAATGGGTTTAATAGGTTTACGCATACATTTCCTCCCTAACAAAGCAAAACATTAAAAAAAATCCGGAAAACTATCAAGTAAAATACTCTTGAGAATGTAGGCATGCATCACGGATGTCAGCCACCCTGGAGCAGCTGGTCCTTTCAGAGTGGATAATTTTGCTGTCTCATGATAATGGAAAAGTATAGTTTACCATTACCTCATGTTCAGAATGCTAAGCATATCTTGACCACTTTTTTCATTTTTAAATTTTCTTATTTAAATTAGAAACAAGGTATTATTTTACATGTCAATCCAAGTTCCTTCTCCCTCTTCTCGTTCCCTGCCCCCCACCAACTCCCTATCCCTTTCTGCTCCCCAGGGAGGGTGAAGCCTTCCATGGGGGAATCTTCAAATTCTTTAACTCCCTAGTTTTCATAGATAGTAGTTGTAGAAAAAAATTGAAGGTGACATCTATTTAGCTCTATTAATTACTTCCTTTTGTGTACAGTGAAATTTTTAATTATCAGTTACAAGTATAAACCAAACACCCTAACTCACGAGGTTGTTCCTGAACACATAGGTAAAGTAGATAGCTTTAACACAGTGCATAAGGCATAAGATTAACAAAGTGAGGTCTACATAGTAAGACACCCATCTCTTTGGATCTCATATTCCCATAAGAAAAGAGGAAGCATAGCTATGGTTGGGGAGAGGAGTCAGTAGACAGTTAACAGGTGTGTAGATAAGTGTAACCCTAGAGTTATGAATTTTACTGATGGAGGTAAGACATGCTTACAGTGAATATTGTAGAAATATGAAATTCTCATTAGGATATCAACTCTGTGCTTTATTAATCTGGTCCCTTCACTCATTTTTCTCATTACAGTCCATGAAATATTGATCTCCAATTTATAAATAGAGCAGTACCAATGTTAATGTCACTCACTGTTGGTAAGGGCAGAGACATGATTTCCAACTGATTTTACCCTTCTTTATGCTAATACAAAGAATTTAGAGTTGTTTGCTTTACCTTGAAATAAAAACAGATGATGATTCTACATTAGAAATTCTTGAAAGAAGAGAATGTCAAGCTAGGGAACTAGGGCATTCAACTTCCTTCCAGTTGCTTGAAATAGAATCTGGCCAGAGGGCCACAGCTGTTTAAAATGAATTTGTTTACTCTAACTGCAGATAACCTTTGTGAGTAAAGTCAAACCTTCATTTTAAGGCATGCCAATGTATCATTAGCTTCAAGCTCAAGTAATGCATCCTCCCAGGAGAAAGTCCATCCTCTAAGATAGCTCTGAGCCATCCTCTTAGAAAGCCATTTGCGTACAGACTTTCTCTTCACTGTACTACTGCAACTGGCACTTTCACTCAGTGTTTGCTGTTTCAGATAGAAGTCTGTAGTTTTATCTTGTGGTAATTTCATCTTGTAGAACAGAACTGGCCACCCAGTTAAAAAAAATGATTTCAATAATTCCCTGGAATTTTCTTTTGCATTCTGATGTATTTCCTTCAATCAAATATATTATGAACCAGAGTCCATTTAATCCTTAGCATCTGTCCACATAAACACATCTAACAGTTTTATTTATCAATGAAATACCTTCTCACATGATGAGGTATCACTCACAACTAATGTGGAAGATAATACTGGTTCTTTGTTGAGATTTTAAAAATGATTTATTCATTTTTATGTTCATTGTTAATTTTCCTACATGTATGTCTTTGTGAGGATGCCAATCTCCTGAATCTGGTGTTACAGTTTTTTTTTGTTTTAATTCTTCAAGACTGGGTTTCTCTTTGTAGCTTTGTAGGCCAGGCTGACCTCAAACTCACAGAGATTTGCCTGCCTTTGCCTCCTGAGTGCTGGGATTAAAGGCATGCACCACCACTGCCTGGTGTTACAGACAATTTTTAGTGGCCATATTTGTACTGGGTTCTCTAGATCAGTAGCTAATGTGCTCTTAACTGCTATCACAAGAATATACTTTAAAATAACATGTAAAATAAACTTTTCTCTCATAGTTATCAACATTTGATTTATTGCTAAAATAAGATATTTTGTGATTTTACATGCATTAAGGATATTCATTTATTTAATATGCTTCCCAAATCATGATACACATTAAAAGTTGTAAATATTGCTGTTTACTATGCAAGAAATATTAGAAGAAAAGAATATGGCAAAGTTAGAGTTCCAGTTCTTCTTAAGTAAGGAGATTATTAGTGTTTTAAAACATCTTTTCTTCCACATCTATAATGGGCATACAATGTTTCAGATAAGCTAAGAAGAAAGTATGTTTTCCTTTTACACACACACACACATATATATATAATCTGAGGACTACTCTCAAATCTAAAACTTAGGAGCTGTTTCTTGAAATAATTCATTCAACATCTCAAAGCTGAAATTTCTATACCAGAAAATGGCGATGTAAAGTCTGCAGCATGGATGAAGTAAGATAATGCAATAGATATAATTAACATAGTGCCTAATAAAGGTAACATCAAGAAATGTTAGATATTATTGTTATGAAAAAGAATGAGAAAATATTTACATAAGAGAGCATATGAAGAAAATATAA